ATTTGCTGGGGTGTGAGCATGGTGTTGAACAACGTGGGGATCAACAGCGTACACTTTCCCACACTGATTGCACGTATAGGGCCTGGATCTACAGTGAACTCTCTTATGTACTTTGACGTAGGAACTGTGGCTAAACAATTTCCCACATCTATCACACTTATAAGACTTTTCTCCAGTGTGGACTTTTTCGTGCTTAAGAAGTGCACCTCTACGGATAAAGGTTTTTCCACATCTGTTGCACACATAAGGCCTTTCTCCAGTGTGAATTTTCTGGTGCTGAACAAGTGTGTCTTTACGGCTGAAGGCTTTGTGGCATTCACTGCACTCATAAGGTTTTGCTCCAGTGTGAATTCTCTGGTGCTGAACAAGCTGGGATTTTCTAGCAAAGGCCTTCCCACATTCATTACACACATAAGGCCTTGATTTTGGGGGAACTCTCTGGTATACTTGGAGGCTGGAGCTGCAGCCAAAGAATTTTTCACATTCACTGCACTTTTGTTCAGTGTGAAAGGTCACCTCACTCTCAGCTCTCCTGCATGGCCTCTCCCCAGCATGAGTGGCATGAGGCTGGACAAGTCCAGAGCTGGCTAAAAAGTCCTCCCCACCATCTCGGCAAGTGAGAGCATTCTCTGACCTGTGGCTTATGTCGTTCTTAACAGACGGGGCCTGGCCCTTTTCCATTCTAAGGAATGTCTCTCCAATCTGCTGCCCTGGGATTTGGTCAGGGTTTACACTGAACCAGAAGGCTGTTCCACATGACTTACATGGGTATGTTTGCTGCCCAGGGCATATTCCTTGCTGCTCAGCCAGATGCAAAATGGCTTTCAAGATTGGGTCACACACGTCACATTGGTGGCTCTTTTGGATAGAAGGATCCACCTGTGACACTCTTACAGGAACACCCTGCTCACAAGATGCACCTTCAGCCTTCACTTTACCAGGGTAAGAGATCCCCCACATCATCTTTGTATTGTCAGGAAACCTGGGCCCTCTCACTGGCTCGGACTGTGTAATCATAGTGCTTCTGGAAATCGCAAGTCCCACTGAGGAGGCCAGGAGAAAGTTATCCAGCATCACTTTATAGTAAAGGCGTTTCTGACCCTCACTAAGTAGCTCCCACTCCTCTTGGGTAAGGTTCAGATACACATCCTCGAAAGTCATAAAGTTCTCAGGGGGGCCCGTCCCTGCTGCTGCCTCCGCCATTGTGGCCGTACCAAAGCCCTGAAATGGCGCGCCCCAGAAGGCGCCGGCACACTTGAACCACGAGGTCATCTCTACTAGACAATGAGTCTCACCTACGAGCAGCTGGAGTGGGTCACCGCGGCTCCTGCAAGGCACAGAGGTAGGTCCCGACCTGGTAATTGTCCTCGGCGTGATGTAGAAAAACCGAGAGAGAAGAAGCCTCTGCCGATCTCTCCGGGCCACGTTTCTCTGAGAAACTGAAACCAGAAAGGAAGGTTGAATGCACGAGACCGGAAGTACTGCCCCAATGCTGCCTGCCGTAAAGCAGTTTCAACCAAGTATGACTGGCTTCCTTAGGTTGGAGAGAGGAAAGGAGGCTGCGATTGGCAAAGATCGCTTGAGGTAATTTTAAAGTTCAGAATTCTCAGTTTTTATTCAAGTGCATCCACATATCTCTGTTACGGATTTCATAATCATGTTTTCAATTGCATCTCCCTTTGATAATATGAATAAGTCTTGATATTATGAATTTTTTATACGTCTCGTTGCTGTACGGGGTGGCTATTAATTTTTTTTTCCTGTGTTAATCTTGTATTTAGGCACTGTTAAATTCTCTCTTTAGCTCTAATTGTTGGTTGATTCTTTTGGATTGGTTTTATAGATGATTATGTCCTCTGCAAAAACTATTTTATTTCGTACTTCCCAACTTTTACAGCCATTCTTCACTTATTATTTTTCTTGTCTTATTGCAGTCGCTAGAACCTTTAAGGCAATGTTGATTAGTACTGATGATAAGAGGCGACTTTTTAATTTCAGAATTTAAATTATTCTAGAATTTGCATCTTATACTGTGCATATATTTGCTATAAGTATGTGGTAGATACATTTATGAAAGTTGCTTGCCAATAATTTTTTAATCATGCGTGATTACTGGATATCATTCAATAGTATATTGACATATATTCAGTTGATTATATGTACATACACACATATATACATATTCATTTAGATTGATTATTTTAGTGAATTAACTTTGTTGGTAAATTTTCTTAAATTGTACTGTTTGCACTCTTGAGACTAAAACCTTGGTCATGATGTCATTATCATAATGAAATGTTAATTGTGATTTGCTGATACTCTAGATTTTTGCTTCTGTGCTTATAAGTATGATTAATATACTTTTTTACTTGTGCTTCTCTGTCTTGGGGGCCCACAGTCATTGCTGAACTCAGAAAATGAAGAATTATCTCTTTTCCATTCTATATATTGCAATAGTTTTTATATAGCTGAAATTAGCTTTAAAAAAATGTTCAGTAGGTCTGATATCTTTGTGGTTGCAGAAATTTAACTACTTTTTCTTTTGATTTTATGTCTTTTTTCTCGACAAGCCACTTGGTACTTTATATTCCCCTAGAATTTTTTTCATGTCATCTAAACTTTCATCTTTATTCCTAGAATGTTGATCACTTTATTACATTATTTTTATCTTTATTTAGTCTTCTTTCCAGCTTTATTGAGGTATCATTGACAAATAAAATTACATATCTTTAAAGTATATAATGTGATGAATATATATATATGTATACATATGTATTGAAATGATTACCACAATCAAATTAATTAACACATCCATCACCTTTTTAGTTACCTTTTTAGTGTGTGCATGGTGAGAATGCTTAAGATCTACTATCCTAGCAAATTTCAAGTATACAATACAGTACATTTGATCTCAAGAACTTATTCATCTTATAACTGAAAGTTTGACCCTTTGCCCAACATTTCCCTATTTCCCCCACCATCTAGCCCCTGGCAACCACCATTCTACTGTCCGTTTCTATGAATTTGATTTTCTTTCCCCTAGATTTCACATATGAGTGGGTACATACAGTATTTGTCTTTTTGTACCTGGCTTATTTCATTTAACATAAGGTCTTCCAGGTTTATCCATGTTGTACAAATAGCAGGATTTCCTTTTTTATGGCTGAATAATATCCATTGTATATGTAAAAATTATTTTCTTTACCAATTCATCCATCGATGGACAGTTAGGTTGTTTCAGTATCTTGGCTATTGTAAATAGTCTTGCAGTGAACATGGGAGTGCAGAAATCTCTTTGAGATACTGATTTCATTTTTTTTTTCAGATATATACCTGGAAATGGGATTGCTAAATCATATGGTATTTAATTTTAAGTAATAGGTCACTTAAAAATTAGTTACCCATTTTTCATTACCAATGATATTTATTTACACCTTCCTCCTCCTTTCTCCTCTTTAAAAATAAAAATAACACTAGACAAAGTCTTCTTTTTACTATTCTTGTGAAAAAAAAAATTATGTATCTGTTGATTGAATCTATAGTGGTTTTTGTTTCATCATTTTGTTTAATAATTATTATTTCTTCTATTTAGAATGTTTTATCTTCTTGTTTTTTTCTATCTTCTTTCCGTGAAATACCAATTCATTTATTTTCTAGCTTTCTAATGTTCTAATAAGTGCAGTTGAGGCTATACATTTTCCTTTTATCAACACTTTTGCTGAAATTCTCAGGTCTGAATTGTAGCATGGTTCATTATGTTTTTATTTTTACAAAAAATTTGTGATTTTGAGTTCCACTTTTACCTACAAATTATTCAAAACTGCATATTTTTTGAGATATTTGGGTTAGTGTACTGTGTACATTATGTATTTGTCACTGATTTGTCTAATATGATTGCACTGTATTTTGTCTGTGACTCTTGTATGGTAGTTTCAGGAAACTTGAAACTTTGCTTTTGCTTTTATTCATGTTTGTGTAAATTTCTGCAAGTGCTTGAAAATAAATTTGATTTCCCTCATCTAGGTTCAAATATAATAGATGTATTAACTTAAGGCTGGCATTGGGTTATTTGCATCCTTTCCCCAATTCTTTGAATTGATAGTTTCTGAGATCATGTGCTACCTTTTTCCACTTACAGTTACTCCTTATAGTTCTATTATATTTTGCATGATTAAACTTAGAATGGAAGGTTTTACTTAGGGCTGACTCATCCAACACTGAGTTTGTTTGAAATCTTCATCATTTACCAATACTAAGATAACTAAATTGCCCGTTAGGTTGGCCATCTCTATTTTGTCTCTGTTTCTGTCTTATTGTTCATTCCATGTTGGATTCTTTCTTCCTAATTTCCAACCCCTCACAGACCTTTCCTACTCTTCACACTTCCTCTATCACTGGTCTCTCCCAAAGAAATAAATTGTTTTTTCACTTTGGAGTGGTAGAAAGGTAGGAGGGAAGCTATTAAATTTTTTCTACTGATAACTTCTCGTAAATATACTGACTCTGAATAAAATTATTCCTATTTTTCTGAACGTAGTTTGAAATTATAAAGACAAAGTTTGACTGTTTTTATGTCCTCTTTTCATTTCTGCTGAGTCATGCACAATGGCCGTCTGACTGAATAAGTATAGTAAAAGGGTAGAAAGAAATCCAGAACGAGGAGAAATTTGTTTAGTTCTTTTAAAATATCATCCTGTCACGTTACTGGTGCTGATTACACTGCTTCTTTTTCATGAACTGCTCTTCCTTTTACTTATTCCTCCTGCCACAACTCACAAAATCAGTCACTTTGAAGAAAAAAAACTTATGACCTTTATCAAGATGAAGGAGATTCACCACACTGATTACTGAACAGAAGAAATTATAAAATGGAACTTTTAATATTTTAAAGCCATTTAAAATACAGTTCACATGAATGATTCTGTACAATTTATAAATTGGTGGAGAGATGATGACCCTGGAGAATTTGCACTGGCAGCCATGGGAGGAAGACATGCGGGAGTAACTTTTAATTGCATATTTAATTGACCTTGCAGGAAAATGAATCTCATATTTTGTAGTGAGTACAATTACATAAAGATTTGAAAATATTATTATCCAAAAGAGTTACTCAGACTATTTTATGGTATTATTAGAATCATATAATATCTCTACTCTGCATTCTTTTGATGGTGCTAAGACAAGTGTCATCCTGTTTTATAGGAGAGGAGTGGAAAGTAGTTAGGAGATAAAATAAAGCATAACTTCTACCAATATTGTTAGTAACTTATGACAAAGAACTTTATCAAGAATGCTGAAAAGTTTTTAGACATCATTTTGAAACTAACAGATTTATAATAATACAGCTGAGAGGTGTAACTTTAAGGTGGCTTATTGCTTTTCCAGCCAATTAGATATTAATGTAATTTGCAACATACAAAATCAGTAATTTTTTCACATGTTTTCACTTTGGAGAAAGCTAAAGAAGTTGATGTTTTAAAGAATGACTATGTGTATTTTTCCAAGGGCATATGACCTAAGAGCCTTTTAAAGACATCCTTTAGGGACTAAAGCCATAACATATTCAGAAAAAGGCATTGGCTCATTTAAAAGTAGAACCCAATCAAGGTCTTGTATGTAAGGGAAAATAGAAAGATAGTTTTAGAAGTTATAAAGTAAGAAATGATCTCTGTTTAACGTGAGAAAAAGCAAAGATATTTTCTCCGATGCAAGAAACAGACCAGGCAGTCACTTGCCATGTTGGCAGTGATTTGGGGTGAAAAGAAAGGCTTCTGAGGGAATATGGGAACTATGACCTATTAGAACAGCAGTTCAGCTATTTATGAGTATAGTTCCATTTAGAATTACGTGAGTTACAGTGATGACTCTCAGAATATAAACCACAAAACATCTGGCCATGGTTAATGGTACAGTCCGTCTGCTGCCATCTTAGGCTGCCTTAAAAGAAATAGTGTCTGGTTCACAGAAGGGGAATTTCCCACTGTACTGATCAGACTACTTTTCTGAATTCATCCTAGGTGTAGCCCAAGGGAAATAACCCAGAGCAACAATGCAAGGCATGGAAACCATGTTCTTAAGATTTTTTTTTTTCACCAAGAGTAAAGATTCTAGGGGACATCGGTTACATTCTTTTAAAAATCTTAGAGCTCTTATAAAGAAAATAATTTGATTTAGTTTCTTTTGTTTTACCAGAAAGTAATAAAGATATTAACTTATTAGATGTGTATGGCCCAGTGCCACAATAAATATTCATACTTATATTACAACTCTGA